GAGAATGCCGATTACCTGTGCAGTATAGCTAAAGTACTAGAATGAATCCTATTAATACCATCCAGCACGGCTAATTTGCCGTTGAGAGCCGCGTCGACCAGCGGTGAATCTCTCCAGACTGTGTCGCCGTTAAGGGATGTGGTCCGTTGTTGTATCAGATCTCTGGACGTCATATCCTAAGAAAATATTTCAACCGTTTCATTACGAACGAATTGCCGCAATAACTGTCGCACGTGCGAACTAAATTCTTTCTTAGTTGAACGAAAATCGTCATTTTTCACGAAAGAACATATAATCGCAAACTAATGTTGCGATGTAATCTCGTGTTCGTAAGAAAATGCTCGAGACTTGCCTGATAGAGTACTATTGGCTCCACTTGATACCCTAATAAATCAGCGAGCCGTCGAACGGTAGTGGACTTGCCGCAGCCCTTCGGTCCGATCAAGCAGAAATCGGACGCCAAGTGAGACTCCAACATGCTCGCCAACAAATTGTTCTGATAATTAGTCTCTACATACAGATCATTATTTACGCTACTAGATTGGCTCGTGCCGCAAGAAACCTATTCGCAAAATAAATTCAGATACTTCAGTAACAGAAATCAGTAATATAACGAATACAAGCGTATTACAAACGAATAATTATTTATAGCTTACGTGAAAATTTGCTTGCCCATTATTGCGCTTTATGTTGATCTCCAAAAAACCATCAGCTGTCTTCGTAGCATCAATTTGACTACTAACAGTAGTCTGCTTCTTTTTGGAATCACTCAAAATGTTAAACGTTCTAAGAATATCCTCGACGGCATTCTGACCTTCTTTACCCAAAAAAAGTTTATACGGATAACACCTATAGAAGACGTCGTACATCGATAAGACGGGGCTTTTCTCCTATGCAAACACGCAAAATTAACCCCAAGACCAACAAAACATGCCATGTATAATATATCGATCCAAAAGCTGAAAATTTACCAGAATTAAAGCGGCCGATGACAAACTGTCCAAAGGAAAATCTGGCAAGCCTATGGTGATCGCTTCTTGAGTAATTAATGCGTGAGCGCACGATAACAATTGCGATAATTTTCCAGAGTCGACGTTAGGCGCTAAATTTCTCAAGATCTCGAATTGTTCCTTAAAAATCGAATCTCAAAATAGTATACTCGATATTCCGCATATGAACAAATATGCTAAAACTTAATAAATTATGTGTCTGCATTTGCCTTTTATTAGATTGGTTTAATTTTTTTGTTTGAACAAAGGTATTAATTATTTTAGAGTATGTTATAATTTTATAAAGATCTTTTTTTTTTGCATTTAACAATACCAATCAAGAGAAAGAACGATTGAATTTTTAGCAATTGAGTTACAGCCATTAAATAAGCGTCCAATTTATGCTTAATAATTACATTCAGGCAACTGATGCTTAAATTCCGCACTTGAAGCATCGTGGTAGAACGAAAGTTTCAAACTCACGTAGAAGTTTACGGCTGTGTTGTAAGGTTGTAATATATTTAATGTTATTTAACGCGAGTCTCTATCCGCACAGCATGCGTTGAATCGCTCGAATTCGGCAATCCCATGAGCGGGAGTTATCTTATCATTACTTCCGCCTTCTCCGATAGAATAGCTCGCATAGTCGGCGCGCGGAAAAGCGGCGGAACCGTCCGCACGTGAGGAATGTACGACTCGATACACGAAACAGTCCTCCTTCCGAGGAGAGTGATTCCGAGAATGCCGATTACCTGTGCAGTATAGCTAAAGTACTAGAATGAATCCTATTAATACCATCCAGCACGGCTAATTTGCCGTTGAGAGCCGCGTCGACCAGCGGTGAATCTCTCCAGACTGTGTCGCCGTTAAGGGATGTGGTCCGTTGTTGTATCAGATCTCTGGACGTCATATCCTAAGAAAATATTTCAACCGTTTCATTACGAACGAATTGCCGCAATAACTGTCGCACGTGCGAACTAAATTCTTTCTTAGTTGAACGAAAATCGTCATTTTTCACGAAAGAACATATAATCGCAAACTAATGTTGCGATGTAATCTCGTGTTCGTAAGAAAATGCTCGAGACTTGCCTGATAGAGTACTATTGGCTCCACTTGATACCCTAATAAATCAGCGAGCCGTCGAACGGTAGTGGACTTGCCGCAGCCCTTCGGTCCGATCAAGCAGAAATCGGACGCCAAGTGAGACTCCAACATGCTCGCCAACAAATTGTTCTGATAATTAGTCTCTACATACAGATCATTATTTACGCTACTAGATTGGCTCGTGCCGCAAGAAACCTATTCGCAAAATAAATTCAGATACTTCAGCAACAGAAATCAGTAATATAACGAATACAAGCGTATTACAAACGAATAATTATTTATAGCTTACGTGAAAATTTGCTTGCCCATTATTGCGCTTTATGTTGATCTCCAAAAAACCATCAGCTGTCTTCGTAGCATCAATTTGACTACTAACAGTAGTCTGCTTCTTTTTGGAATCACTCAAAATGTTAAACGTTCTAAGAATATCCTCGACGGCATTCTGACCTTCTTTACCCAAAAAAAGTTTATACGGATAACACCTATAGAAGACGTCGTACATCGATAAGACGGGGCTTTTCTCCTATGCAAACACGCAAAATTAACCCCAAGACCAACAAAACATGCCATGTATAATATATCGATCCAAAAGCTGAAAATTTACCAGAATTAAAGCGGCCGATGACAAACTGTCCAAAGGAAAATCTGGCAAGCCTATGGTGATCGCTTCTTGAGTAATTAATGCGTGAGCGCACGATAACAATTGCGATAATTTTCCAGAGTCGACGTTAGGCGCTAAATTTCTCAAGATCTCGAATTGTTCCTTAAAAATCGAATCTCAAAATAGTATACTCGATATTCCGCATATGAACAAATATGCTAAAACTTAATAAATTATGTGTCTGCATTTGCCTTTTATTAGATTGGTTTAATTTTTTTGTTTGAACAAAGGTATTAATTATTTTAGAGTATGTTATAATTTTATAAAGATCTTTTTTTTTTTTGCATTTAACAATACCAATCAAGAGAAAGAACGATTGAATTTTTAGCAATTGAGTTACAGCCATTAAATAAGCGTCCAATTTATGCTTAATAATTACATTCAGGCAACTGATGCTTAAATTCCGCACTTGAAGCATCGTGGTAGAACGAAAGTTTCAAACTCACGTAGAAGTTTACGGCTGTGTTGTAAGATTGTAATATATTTAATGTTATTTAACGCGAGTCTCTATCCGCACAGCATGCGTTGAATCGCTCGAATTCGGCAAGCCCATGAGCGGGAGTTATCTTACCATTACTTCCGCCTTCTCCGATAGAATAGCTCGCATAGTCGGCGCGCGGAAAAGCGGCGGAACCGTCCGCACGTGAGGAATGTACGACTCGATACACGAAACAGTCCTCCTTCCGAGGAGAGTGATTAACGCCGAGAGCCTTCCAACATTGCGCGCCCAGATGAATAACTACCACTCGGCACGGAAGCCGCGCGAGAGATACCGTCGCGCCCACCCACTCGGAATTTCCATCGAAAACTTTCAATCGGACCGGATTATAATCTCGAGCCCTCGATCGACTGTGTAATTGCGGCGTTGGCGGAAATGTGGTTTTCGTGACTCGTTCGTCCCCGGGATTCGTCGCGAAAATAGAAGAAACGGAAAATCAATTTCGCGCCGAAGCTTCTCGTAATTCTCTCGACACGTTCGATTATTATCCATGTCGGACTTTCGTCCTATTCCGATTATTCGCCGTTATATGTTATATCGAATACATACTGCGCCGATTTCGGATAGATAAGATCAATGACCAAGCCGACATTATCTCGCGATTAAATACGAATTTCTTATAAAACGCGAACTCGCCAGGAAAAATTCGCCATCTTCCTTCAGAGATGTGTCACCAGGCTATCAAAATATTAACCAGCTGTTCCGCAAACACGCGATTCCTTGTTTCTAGCAATTTCCGGTAGTTCAATGCACTCTCGCGTTGGAAATCAAATATGACACTTGAATTATATCGGACAGAAGATTCTCACCATTAACAATGACATTTCTATCTTTGTAGCTTTACCTTAAAAACATAATAATATAAAAACATAATAATATAAAACTTCGGTATATGTATGCATTTAGAGAATAAACTAAATTTTAATACATCATAAGCATTGCTCAGACATTTACATTTTTACTAACCATAATAATAACAAAGCAAATGAATCACGGCAAACTTAAATTATAGCACACAATATTTTTCCCAGGAACATCCATCAGCTATAAAGTCAAGCTTCTATTTTAATAGAAGCCGACTTTCGCGATGATTGATTATTAAACGATGATACCGTGTATGTAGAAAATAGATGTCTGCACACCTTTATTTATATATCTGCCAAGTTTTATTACTCTGCAAATATAGGCGCCAGGCATATTAGCTGTCTTGTGCGGTTTCTATAAACGTGACCTGGGCGCTCTATTATTTTCATTTTTCATTATAGTGACTGGCAGTAATTTCGCAAAGGTGGCACACATAAGCCCATGAAGTCACGAGCATATAATGCTATATACAATCCATATAAAACGCAAAAATAACTCTGATCTAATCCGTATAATATTGCACAAATGTAATATTATCACGTGTAATTTATTCTAAATTTATTTTTCATGAATTCTTCAATACATAGTATATGTATCTCTTGGTTGGTTCTGCACGTGACAGCAATTTCTACGGACTCTAACGATATGTACACTATGTACATTTCGTGACGGATAATATTCGTTCCACGAGAAACGACTTAAATACTCCATGCTGTGTAATTATTTTAAAGTTTTAAGTGATCTTTTCCACGAGTTTTATTATTAACTAAGTTCAATTCAGTTTCTCCGACCGGCGATAAAACAAGGCGATGTCTCCGCGTCGACTTCAATTCTCTCGGTGCGCAATAACGAGGTTGCAACACGGCTTCGGAATTCTCCATGAAAATGCTATCTATCGCAGAATGTCGAGATGTAAAGTACGTTTATATCGAACTAGAATAATGCCTTGCATAAATTTTGTGCCAATTATACTAAATAATGAAGAAGCTGTAGAAGCAAAATTATTTATAAAAGCTTTTTATAATAAAAACTTGCGTTTTATAGGATAATTTAAAAATGTTGACCACAATATTAAAAAAATTTTTTTTGTAAACTTAAAAATTAATGATTTAATGAAAATAATATCTATAAATTTGTGCGTGTGTATATTATGAAAAATACGTAAAATATTTTACAGATACATAATTTCTTTTTAATTCTAAATAAATACCTACGTTCAATCAATTATTTTAAAAAATTCGATATTTTACTTAATTCTATATATAACAGATATAGAGAAATAATATTATTATTATAATATTATTATTTTTAATATTATTAACATTATTATTTTCAATCCAGTACGTTTTCAACACGTTATATTTAATTTTAATGTGTTGTTCAGAATATAATAATAAAAAGAAAAATTAAACTGCTTGGTACAGCCGATATTTCTTCAATATCTTTCAATAATAATTAACAAATATACATATTCCGCGAATGATATTGTCACATCACCGTTTCTCACGAAATTTTAGAAAAATTTTAGAGAAAGACAAAAATATGATTATGCTGACAGTCGCGCGGCTAACGTTGCTGCGCTGTCAAACTGGAACGCTGGGACTCGAAGAACCCCGATGGCTTCGCGTTTCTTTCTAATCTGAGACGTAAATTCGTTCGATTCCCCAACGTATCGACTCGTATAGGAGGACAGGGTAAGGTTTCGACTGTTTGTGAGACACGCGATCCGAGCCGCGCGATGCCTGTGACCATGGCGCAGCCACGAGCCCGCGTTTATATGCGAACGAGAGAAGCACATCGGAAGGAAGGGATGGATGCGGACCGCAAGGGGAGGGAATACGCGCGACCTCCGCACCCCATGCCTAATGGTACGCTACTCCGGCCCCATAAATCAGGCAAAAGTTTCTTGGAAGTTATACCGCGCCGTCTCTCCTTTGGGGCCACGCCAGCGAAACATACGACATTCTCTTAAAATCACCGCTGAGGCATCAAATCGTTGTTACCTCATATTTTTATCTCATTAGCAATTACATCTCTGATAGTCTGAATATGACTGAGAACAGCGAATAGATTGAACTCGTGTCTTTAATCACCACCGTCGAGAAAGCTATTTTAATGCGACAGTAATCATACGATACGTACGTTCGCAAATTGCTATGACAAAGTTTAATGAAACCATATCGCTACATATAATTAGAAGCTTGTTTAATGACTTTTCTAAACGTTGATTCAATTTCGTATGTATATGCGACATATCTTGGAAGGTAATACCGATTTCCGTGCATGACATTTAACATTTTGATACTTCACGTAGAACACGGAATCTATTCAGTTAATTGAGCTCTTTGGCTGATCCAACTTTTAAAAATCACGTACTTAGGTATACATACTTACCTCAAATGTCGGCGGTGGAATGTGATGGGCCTGAAATCTAGATCTGAGAGGAGGATCTAACGAATGCCCAGGGTATCGTGGTGACGGTAGACCGAGTGCTATTACTATGAAATCTTCGCTGACTCGCACGAGACGCCACGCGTCTAATTCTGTTTGAGTGTGCATCTGCAAATAAATTTTCCACAAATTTATTATTTATATAAATTAGGTGGTTTAAAGAGAAATTCCATCTAAGATAATAAATTTTTTTCTACGTAGAATCATATAGATGGACAAATACCTTTAGTAATTTGTCGTATCGAGATGCCGGGATAAGAAATCTACCATCTTCTAAATGCATTTCACGATTTTCTAATAAATTATTTAGCACAGGCAACACGTTTCGCTCCGCCTTTTCCACACCTTCGATTATGAGAACTCGTCCATTGGTCGCGGCTCTTACGGCACTCTGATCATGATAATATGCAGTGCCGCTTTTGATCTCTCTTCTCTGCTTTAAATCTGCTTCTGTGGTATCACGGGTAAGTGCAATGAATTCCAATTCACGATCGGTTAGCTCCAGAAAGGCTAGCGCGAGCTCTCGTCTACGCGCACCAGGTCCGCCCATCAAAAACATATCTTGATGTAAAATATCTTTCTGAAGCATCCATTTTAGATGTCTCAGTGTTTCTTGAGATTGTGTATTTAACACTATTCAAAAATAAAGGAAAATATGCATCATATACTGCTTAATGACTTATCAATTTTAATTCTCTTGTACATATCATATTATATAATATATATATATATATATAATAAATAACAAAATATGCAACACTTACAATACTTTCTTGGAACATACTCTGGATTGTTCGCTGGTCTCACTTCTTTTGATACATCACCAATAGTGATAACTGCATTGTCTAAAACAGAAATATACAATCACTCAGTGTCACGAGAAAAACAAATCAATATCAATTCATCAGTAAAGTATAATCTCACCTGATTTACAACGTAGAAATACCAAAAAATTTGGCCTATAGTTAAATCTATTGGACCGCTCCAAAATTCGATCCACCGTTGACAGGCGATAGAAATTCCGAGGGATGGATAACATCTCTCACAAAACAATACTTTAATTCCACGTAGAAAACATGCTATGCCTAAGTAGCGACCTGCAAACATTTCATATAGATAATATGACGAGCGCTGTCAAAAATCTTAACAAAGTGTTTTGAAATGATGACAGGCTAAATGACTGTCAGTCGAATTTTAATCAAATTATTTTTTGACGCACTGTAAACACATACAGCAAAAAGGAGTTTATACCTCGGTGTATATTGCTAAATTATACACGAATGTCTTTACTTATGTTTGGTTAATATAACATAACCTAATTCGTCGACACCACGTGTCGACACACGTGATCGCGTCAGATCATATGGTCGTGTCTTACGTTTTCATTGGCCGCGTTCAGCAGAGAAAGCGCTCAGTTATCGTCTTGTCAACACTTGACGTTGATTCGTTGGTTCTAAATGTAAGAACCAATCATATTCGATTGCTACTAAGCGGTTTTCTCTGCTGAACGCGGCCATTAGTAGTCATAGGGTCTGTTCTTTGCAGCTGAACTGGCTGCACTGGTTCAGAGTTTATCTTTTTCTCTCCCCATTGGAAGGAGAAGGATGGGCTCTGAACTGGTGCAACCAGTTCAGCTGTAAAGAATATACCTATATACATGAATAAACAATGAACATATATATATGTACGAATGATTTTTGACTGACAATCTGTATTGAAACAAACAACAAGATTATACGAATGATAGTGCAATCTAGCGAAACACGTGCATCGTACATTATGTAACAATACGCTCGCTATTTTTCAATGTAATCTTCCATTATTATAATCGAAATAAAATTATTATTATTACGGTTTTAATACAAATAAATAAAAATGTAAAAATATCTCGAACGTTTTAAAAATATACTTCACTTTAATTAAAATAAACTATATTTATATTTGTAATGTCGGCGACGATCGATATCGTGGAAATTTCAAAATAACTCGACGCACAGCTATTCTTTTCCAAATACTCACAATAGAATACGTACTGGAGTTCCTTTTATCTAAAGACGCGATTAATTCTACATGTCACATATATACATTGCGTATGACACACAAGAGATCAAAGTTCAATCGCCGAGTCGATTACGGCAAAGATCTCTTGGAAATGAAACAAGAGAATTACATTAATATATATTTCTTTATTTCACTAGTTTCTATTATATATGAGATTTTTATCACATATATAATATTGACCAGTATTACAATCATTTAAAGCTCGCTGTGATGCTGTGTCTAGCTTTAACATTTCTGTTTACTCGATAATCACTAAAAATTATAACATTGTTAAAAGCATGAAAATTAAATAAAATAAAATGTCGTTGATATTATACTTTGCACTTCTTTTTCCAAGATATACTTATATTAAAAACCTATATTAAAGAATTATTAATCAATGAATATATTATTATTATATATATTATATAATAATATATTAATGAATATATAAAATATTCAGTAGCTATCAATATAGTAAGTGTACATAAATTTGCACTTGTAATACAATTATAAAATATTAAGGTATCATTCTTATTTAGTTTGTTCTTCAAACAATAATCAGAACTGCTATATGAGATATTGCATTGAAAATTATTTTAAATAGCACACAATGTGATGATGAATTATGCATCATATACAGCTGCTATTTAATAGTTAATAATATGATAATTTATGCTGACTATTGGGAGAGTAATGCGACATACATTATATGTAGTACAAAAAGTAGTTAAGCTAGAGTTTAGTGCCTACACAATATATCACATATTTTTATATAAGATACATAAAGTTTAAGGCGTATTTACATACTTCTGAATTGGGGATCCAATTGAAGCAAATTCTCGACTAGTTCGAAACGTACAATCGTTGAATAGTAATTTTCCGTCGTAATTTTGACAGGACGGACCTATCGCGGAAAGATATATATCGACCTTGATAACGACCAGTATCGTATCAATCTATCTTTTATCTATATTCTTCAGGAAGATTTCTATCTTAGAAGTATAAGCACTACAATTTCGTAGTAAGACAAACAAATGTTATTACTTTAATGAAAGTAGAGAGAAAGGAGGGATCACAAGTATTATATGAGTATTATTCAAAAAACTTATTACTCTAACAGTCTTCATCAATACTGTAAATTAGAATGCAATATTTATATGAAAAGCATTCACATACATTCAATAAATATCCATAGATAGATATACAATCAGCACACTATATATCTTTTATAAATATCCACTATCAATAAAAAGACTCATTCTAGAAATATAGAACAGTACATTAGATACAGCAATTTCTATTTGCTAAAATTAGCGACCAAAAAATGCACAAATTGTAGATTGTACACAACAACAGACTTTTATATATTTTTCCTCTTCTTACTTTAGAAATATCTCTACAAAAAATGCAGAAATCACGTTAAAATTTATCTGACCAATCTATATCACGCGTTTGCAATATTAAACAAATATTATAAACTTACTTCTGGATAATCGTCTCTTCTAACGTTCGCAGGGTAATAATCGACGATTAATGGACGTGGCCGTTGGCCAATACCAGCGGGCTGTTGGAGCCCACACGCTTGCTCCTCATTCGTAATTACTGTCACCAAAGTGTTTATAACTTTTTCATCTAACGCTGACATAGCTTTGCTCGGTGCTTTCATACGCCTGAGGAATAAAGCGTTCCACTTCTGCCGCAAATATAAAAACAATTGGGCCGTTTCGGGATCAAGCTTAAATACCACCCAATCATCGAGTTTAAAAATAGTCCCTTCATGAGCTTCATCAACCTCTGAATCCGATTCGCTTTCCGGAACAGCTATCAATATTTTTGTTCAAATATATATCACATTATAATAATATATTGTATATAAAAAAGAGACATGCGCCGCTTACCTTCAGTTTCACAAATTATATTCATTGGTAATCTAGCTGGTCCACTAAATAATGCTACAGTTAATGGATTAACAAGTGTAACGACTTTCACATGACAGAAACGTCCTGTACGGCTCATCTCCTCATAAACCAACCAATCGCATGGTAAAGTTTGTACATTAGCTGCATGTGTTTGTGCGGATGTCATCCTCGGAGATTTGGGATAATCTCTCAAGGTCGACGACGGATGGAAGAATACTTTAACTTCTTTTCTGTAACAAAGTATAAGCGCATACAGCAACGTTACAAACTGTCTACAAATTATGATAGCTTGTCAAACAAAATACATACTGCGTTCGTAACTGCATATGCTCTCGATCAGCTCGAATTAAATTGGGATATAAGCCTGCGGTCAGGGCTGCTTTCACAACAGCCCAATTCTCTGAATTAGAATTTAAATCCCGAATATCTCCAGGACTCCTAGCTCTAACGAATCCAGATGCGCGCAATTGGCCAAGTAGTTGCGTACGCATTCCGACCACCATCTCCATGACAGGAGCGGAGATAAAATTTTTCTCGCAAAACGCACGTTCTTTGCCGGCCGCTCTAGCGTTCTGCCAACCCTGGAATGCTCGCAATACTACCATATGATCCGAGTACGTTCCAGTCGCAAATTTTTTTCGTGCTGCAGTTAAAGCTCTCTTTTGCGATGGTTGCGACGGTAGTATGAAGGGATCTCTGCAATAAATTGTTTTACAATATAATAATGAACAGATATACAAAATTCAAATTCATATACATTATGTATTTAAATGTATATTCACTTGTATGCTAAACTGCAAACGATTGTCAAAATGGGATCCAAACATTTTAGAACGACGGCGTATAGCAACATCTTCCCGAGTCTCGGTTCAATCGGCAAATCTAGTAAATGACTCCCTAATTCAGTGAGATCTTCCCATGGATCTAGCGCATCAATAGTCTTTAATAATTGAACTGCATTTCTAGTCACTACATTAGACGGTGGCTCCAAAGCTTTATCCAAGAATTCAGCTATAGGTGTGTTTCCCGGCGTTAAATGTTTAGTGAATAAACACAATTCTTGCAACGGTAATCGTAGAATCTCAGGCGTTTGGTGAAGCTGCATATTATTATATCGGACCGAAGAAAATAAACGATAGCAAATTCCTCTTCTACATCTGCCTGCTCTACCTTTCCGCTGTTTTGCACAAGCTTGAGATATCCAGTTGGAGGTCAGCGTACAAACGCCCGATATAGCGTCAAAAGACTTCTCCTTAACCTTTCCCGAATCAATGACATACACGACATCATCGATTGTGATGCTAGTTTCCGATATATTCGTAGAAAGGATAATCTTTCGTGTACCCTGAGGACTGGGTTTAAATACTTTTTTCTGATCACAAGTCTGCATATTCGAATGAAGTACATATAAAATGTAGCGTAAATTTTGATTCATTTTTTTCTCTTCCGCATTTATTTTTTCTCTCATCGTCACTATATCATCATATCCCGGTAAAAATATTAAAATAGAGCCATGAGGCATTTTTATATGAATGTAAAAGATTAATTCTAACAGTAAATTGTAATCTATATTATCGTCGTTAAATGTATGATGGTATATATCGAGCAATAATTTATCTTCTTCAGAGAGCGAAGTTGTCTCCGCAACGTGTGTTAGTTCATTATTCGATACCGCGCAATCATAAGTTTTCATGTAAGCTTCGATTAATTCAGCACATTCGGTATGATTCCTGCTCTTTGCCCAGTCTAACGCGGTACAACCGTTAATGGCTCTCAAATTAAGATTCGCTCCTAGATTTAAAAGTTGCTCGGTTGTGTTTATGCACCCTCTAACAGCAGCTGCCATCAATGGTGTTACAGAAGTTTCGGAATGCTGATAATCCACAGAGACATTTTCTGAAAGTATAAAATGCAGGAGCTGTGCAAAGTTGTCTTCTCTCCCGTTTACCCAAGCATCGAGAATACTCTTATCCATTTCTTCTATCAGCCAAGGTTCTAACTTAACTTTCTCTGGTATAGGGTCACTCTGTTGAGCTAGAATCGGAGCGGGTAGCAAATTCTTTTCGCTCTTGGTATTTTTATTAGAATGTTGGGGCTTATATTGCTTCCAAGATTCCAAAGTTTTCTGCTTATCTTTACATTTTAAAAATTCCTTTTTCTTCATGAGCATTTCCTTCGTCATGTAACCAGTCATTTTCAAGATATCCTCCAGAAAATACACGTCCACGTCATAGGATCGGCCCGGAACGTTGGTGACAGTACATTTATTAAAATATTTTGCGAAGATACTGGTGTCCATTGTAGCACTCATAAGTATCAATTTTAAGGAACGATATTTAACTAACGCGTCCTTTAAGGCTATCAGAAGAAAGTCACAAAATCTGTCCCGTTCGTGAACTTCATCGACGATGATATGCGTGAGCGTAGTTAGGGCAGAATCTCCGCCCATTAAAGTTCTAAGTAGTACTCCATTTGTACAATATGTCAAGAGAGTTTTCGGAGCTACTCTACTTTCCAGTCTTATTTGATATCCGAATGTCTGGCCAATTTTTTCTTCCCTTTCGAACGCCACTCTTTCGGCCACGGATACAGCCGATAAACGCCTGGGTTGTGTGCAAATGATTCTACAAGCCTGATGCTTTTGCTGATAGTGTTCCAAGATGTATTGCGGTACCTGTGTAGTTTTGCCACATCCCGTTTCACCCGCGATTATAACAACTTGATGATTGTTCAATGCATTAATAATTTCTTCTCTCGCATTAAAAATTGGTAAAGACTTGCGAAAATGTAGCACTTCAAAATTAGTTTTTAACTGAGGTACTTGTGGTATACTATTATTCAGCCTTCCCATTGTCTTAGTGTTTGTATTTACTACAACAATAAAAATATTCCATTAAAAACTAATCATGAGCTAAGTTTTTATATGAATTAATAATTATATTAACATGTGTTAAATATATTCTATCATTTTTTTTTTTTTCGACTATAAATAATCATAAATAAATTCATATATAAATAACATATATTTATATATAAATAACTAATATACTTGTCATAAATTAGTTTTTTGCATACCATCGTTATTGAGAGGACGCTCTCTCTCGATTGGAGGCAGCAAGTCTTGACATTCTTTGTGATTTAATGGAAAGGTTTGCATCAAATTATATATGCTTTGCTTCGATGGTTTTCGTAATTTTATCACAGCATCAGCCTGAACTATTGTTGATCCTTCTCTCTTATATACCGTCAAGAATCGATTCATACCTTTCCTGCAAAATAAAAGACACAATAAAAATAAATCTGTTAAAGAAAAGATTAAGTGGAGAAATGTAATTGCTATGTTCTCTCTCAATGAACATAAAGTTCATCACATTTGATCATACCCTCGGCTTTTTGATTTTAGACCAAGTTGTCTAGCTAGTTCATGGATGTAAGCTCTCTCTTCTGCTGTGTACGAAGATGGAAATTCTAGCTCCTTTTGATCTGGAGTTTCCAATAATTTTTTTATAGTTAAATTCACTGCTATTCTAGTATCTTCCCCTATAGGGCGATGTCTTTGCTGTTTTCTGCGTGGCATAGTAAGTGCTCAAATCACCTGTTACCAATAAATCAACACGTTGATTTTAGGTTAAAAAATGCATTGTATATTCTACAATATATTCAAAAATAAAAACTGGTTACACACACATGATACACCAGTAAAATATTGTGCTCAAAAAATATATTGAAATATTTAATTAACTTATAACTGATACATAAAACGAATAGTATCGAAGGGAATATTCCGAATACTTCGAAGATCGAGAAATTTGGACGATCGCCGAACGCATCGTCAGCAATTTCTTCAAAAAAAAAAAAAAAACGAACGCAAAAAATTTACTTACTTACACTCTTACTACTTTGGAGCAACACACCACACGCCAGAGGTCATGAATTTCGCTCCGATATAATAATTTATTTATGCTGATCTCAACAATGGTGCGAAATGCAAAAGGCGTAAAATCACACTCGAAAGCGCATTCACTCGCTAAATGCACTCGTTTACCTTGCACGAGAGTGCGTTTATCTCTTCAGAAAAATTTACGAATATAATGAAAGCCAAAAACGTATCGCGTATCGCGTTAGCACGAGAAATAAACGTTGATAAGCAGCAAAGCAATGTCTAACAACGATTGTCAGCTCCACCTGTGTTTTAAATATTCGCACTCACTTCGAATGCTCTACGGATAAAATTGATGTAATATAATTCCAATTCGAAAAGGGAGTGTGAATACTTATATATATATATATATAAAATTCTAGCTCCTTTTGATCTGGAGTTTCCAATAATTTTTTTATAGTTAAATTCACTGCTATTCTAGTATCTTCCCCTATAGGGCGATGTCTTTGCTGTTTTCTGCGTGGCATAGTAAATGCTCAAATCACCTGTTACGAATAAATCAACACGTTGATTTTAGGTTAAAAAATGCATTGTATATTCTACAATATATTCAAAAATAAAAACTGGTTACACACACATGATACACCAGTAAAATATTGTGCTCAAAAAATATATTGAAATATTTAATTAACTTATAACTGATACATAAAACGAATAGTATCGAAGGGAATATTCCGAATACTTCGAAGATCGAGAAATTTGGACGATCGCCGAACGCATCGTCAGCAATTAAAAAAAAAAAAAAAAAAAAAACGAACGCAAAAAATTTACTTACTTACACTCTTACTACTTTGGAGCAACACGCCAGAGGTCATGAATTTCGCTCCGATATAATAATTTATTTATGCTGATCTCAACAATGGTGCGAAATGCAAAAGGCGTAAAATCACACTCGAAAGCGCATTCACTCGCTAAATGCACTCGTTTACCTTGCACGAGAGTGCGTTTATCTCTTCAGAAAAATTTACGAATATAATGAAAGCCAAAAACGTATCGCGTATCGCGTTAGCACGAGAAATAAACGTTGATAAGCAGCAAAGCAATGTCTAACAACGATTGTCAGCTCCACCTGTGTTTTAAATATTCGCACTCACTTCGAATGCTCTACGGATAAAATTGATGTAATATAATTCCAATTCGAAAAGGGAGTGTGAATACTTATATATATATATATATA